AAAAATTAGTCTAAACATGTGGATGATGGTGATCAAAGTAAAATTATGAAATTCCAGTTAAGAAGCAAAGGCTGCCAGACTGTATTTTTAAACTGAACAAATAGGCAAACCAACAAAATAATTTTGTTGTTTTTTTTTCTTTCAAGAGATACACTTAAAGCATAAGGACCCAGAAAAAAATGAAAGAATGGAAAAAGGCTAAGGAATAGGCAACAAAATTAACTGGTGTACCAATATTAACATCAGTAGGGGAAAAAAACAAGACTTTAAGAGAAAAACTTTAATCATTACATGTTGATAGAAAAGTCAGCTCACAAGAAGATATTTCAAAATTTATGCATGCCTAAAACATAGCTTTAAAATATGTAAAGAAAATAATTGACAAAACATAGAGAATTTGACAGACATTATAGCAAAAACTTGGCACACCTCTCTTTCCATGAGTGATAGGTCAAGTAGACAAGTGTGAAGAAGGCATCAACAGAACTATCCGTGATCCTGACGTAACTGACGTACCTTGAACACTACACCCCCACAACTGTAGAATTCATGGAGACATTTACAAAACCTGATCACGTACCAGACCATAAAGCATATCTCATCATCTTTCAAAAATTGGAATTGTATCGTCCACACTGTCTTAGCACAAAGCAATTACAGTCATGTACCACATGACAGTTCAGCCAGCATCAGACCACATAGATGATGGTGACCCCATGAGAGTATAGTAGAACTGAGAAATTACTGTTGCCTGGAGACCTTGCAGCTGACCTGAGATTGCAGCACGTTACCCCCATGTGTGCTGCTAGTGCAAAGCCACTGAGCTGCCAGCTATCTAGCACCTGCTGTTAAGCATAGCTCATCATTCTTCATACGCTGATAAACAGCTGCTTTACTGGTTTGTGTATTACTATGCTTTTTATCATTATTTTAGTGTATTCCTTCTAATTATCTAAAAAAAATTAGCTGTAAAACAGCCTCAGGCAGGTCCTGCAGGAGGTGTCCAGAAGGAGGCACTGTGATCATCGGAGATGACTATGTCAGACTGTGTGGTTTTGGTGCAGTGGGAGACAAGTAGACTGGATGAGACCTGAGAGTCCAGGATCCCTCACACAGGAAGGAAGCCATCCACGATACTTGGACGGAACAAAGCTGCCCACAAGAGCAGAAAGGGCAGATGGCCCACACAGTGCCAGGACAGTGGGTCAACTATGTGGGGAAATTGATCTTTATTTCCTGCCATAAACAAAAATCATTTCCCATGTGTCAAGAACTCCAACACAAGACAGAAAAATTGAGCAGTTTTAGGAGAAAATATAGAAGAATGTCCGATTCTCATGTCAGGGGAGGATTTCTTAAAATGTAAGCACAGACCATAAAGGAAAATACCGGTGAGTTCAACTATATTAAATGTTAGAATACTGTTTCTTATAAGACACCATGGGAGAGAGGGGAGAAGATCTGTGCAGCAGGAATGACAGACAGGCTGGCATCTGAAATGCTGGGTGCTCTTGGGAAGTCAACAAAAATCAAGCAATAAGAAAAATGGACGAATGACAGAAACAGGCATTTTGCTGGAAATGAAATAGAATGCAGGTTAGAACCACCGTGGCGGGGACCTGTTTCTTGGCCTGAGTGATAGTTGCATGGGTGCATTTGTTTTGTGTTAATTCATTGAGTTGCATCTTAACAAATGGTTGCAATTTTAGTAGTTGTCTGTGTGTTACATTCTGAGACAATGTGAAGTAGAAAAGACAGTTTACAGAGAAACATCAGTAATGGGATATTTCCCCTGCCCACCCTCCTGCCCTCCTCTCCCTCCCTCCTCTCCCTCCCTCCTCTCCCTCCCTCTCCCTCCTCTCCCTCCTCTCCCTCCCTCTCCCTCTCCTCCTTCCCCTCCTCTCCCTCCCTCCCCTCCTGCCTTCCTCTCCCTCCCTCCTCTCCCTCTCCCTCTCCCCCTACTTCCTCCCCCTGCCCTCCTCTCCCTCCCCTCTTCTCCCTCCCTCCCCTCCTGCCTTCCTCTCCCTCCCTCCCCTCCGTTCCCTCCCTCCCTCTCCCCCTACTTCCTCCCCTCCTGCCCTTCTCTCCCTCCCTCCCTTCCTGTCGCCTGCCTACCTGACTTTCTTCCCCTTTCCTCTCAGTGATTTGGAGGTACTGGTGAGAACCAAAAGTCTCATTTTTTTACAGGGCAGAATCTTCTCAAAAAGTGGAAGGCCCCTTGGCACTTAGTCCTGTTCTCTCCTTTAAAAAATGTGGAAATTGAGTCCAAAGGAGGTGCAGTGGCTTGACTGATCCTGGGCAGAGCTAGGGTGAGCACCTGCCCATCCTCTCCACAGATGCTCCCCAAGCACCGCCCTGTGCTAGTCCAGACCTCCCTAGGACGTCCCCTACATTTGTAGGTTGGGAGGAGAGAGATTTATTTGCTAGTGTGGTCATTTCTTCGTAAAAAGCCAAAAACATATTGGGAGACTTTTTTGTCATCCACAGCCACAGTTGCTGCTCACTCACATCCATTCCCTCACTTTATAGTTCAAGGAACTGAGGCCTGGAGACACCAGGCCTTCTATCACCACAGCAACCGGCTGGGCCATCTTGGAGCTGACTCCAACCCCTGTAGAGCCCAGGGGGTGCCCCTCCCCTGTACCCCATTCCCTGGCCACAGGGCAGCTCCTGAGCCCCACTGGGAGTCAGGGGTTTGTGGATCCCATCTGTGCCATCCAGCGTCCGATGACTGGATGAATTCACCAGGAGTGTCTCACCCCACCATGGGCGATCTTGCCTGCAGTCCTCCTACCCGGCCTGGGACACCTGCAGTCTTTCCTGACGTGCCCTGTCCAGGTGGGGCGCCTTCACTAGGACCCCAGATATGCCTGCTTCTTCCTGCTGTCCCTGCAGGGCCTCACGTCTCTCCAGGAGGTAGACTGTCCCGGTGTAAGTACTCACCAGATGTGTCTGCAATGGCAGGTGCTCAGGGAGCAAAGTCAGGCTGCGGCGACAAACACCCTACATCTCATGGCTCTCCACTGGACACAGAGGTGTGCCAGAGGCCACGGGCTTGCCATGGGGACCAGACCCTATCCTGTGGGAGCAAGAAGAGGCCAGACGGGCTGCAGCCCACCAGACGGCCGCCTCCTGCCAGGCCTGCCCTGTCCCCCAGCCCAGCACCTGGCTGCAAGGCCAGGCGTTGGGGAGGGGCAGGGCTGGGGAGCAGCCCCCCATCCTCCCAGGGTACTAGGTACTGAGGAAGGGGCCTTTACTTTGACTCTGGGTGAACTCTTAGGGGAGGACTCCCTGCTCCTGGGAGGCCAAGTGCACACCCACCCAGGAGTGCGCAGCTGGGAAGGTGCTGGGACCACAGTCGCCGCCTTCCTGACTGCTCCCTGGTGTCAGGGAACCCAGGTTCCAGGGGTGGCCAGGGCAAGCATGGGGGTCTGGTCAGGTGCTCAGCAGCCGGCCTTCTCACATGGGGACAGCAGCTCTGCTCCGAGCGCCCACACCCCCAAGCACTGGTGGCCTCTGTGGCAGGTTCTGCCACCCACACCCTGTGCAGTGAGGAAGCTGAGCTGCCTGCCTGGCTGTGGGTCGCAGGAGTCCACACACAGCCACACTGGGATGCGTTTGGGCTGAATGTTCTGAAGGGAAAATGCTGGGGAGGTGGTGCCCTCCCCGAATGTGCCGCCTCCCCTGCCTGCCAGCACCACAGAGGAGCTTTGCCCGGTGCCCTCCTGAGCCCCAGGACACCCCCTGCAGCACCCATCCTTGATGGGAGAGCCAGGCCTGAGGAGCCCCATGCCCTCTGCTGAGCAGCCCTTGGCTCTCCAAAGGGTGGAAGAATTTTGAGTCTCACCTTGCCACATACCGTTATCTTCTGCTATTTTTAGTTTTTATTTAAGAAATGAGGCTCGGCCGGGCGCGGTGGCTCAAGCCTGTAATCCCAGCACTTTGGGAGGCTGAGACGGGCAGAACACAAGGTCAGGAGATCGAGACCATCCTGGCTAACACAGTGAAACCCCGTCTCTACTAAAAAATACAAAAAAAATAGCCGGGCGAGGTGGCGGGCACCTGTAGTCCCAGCTACTCGGGAGGCTGAGGCAGGAGAATGGCGCAAACCCGGGAGGCGGAGCTTGCAGTGAGCTGAGATCCAGCCACTGCACTCCAGCCTGGGCGACAGAGCCAGACTCCGTCTCAAAAAAAAAAAAAAAAGAAATGAGGCTCAGGTAAAATAACTTTAAAAATGGCATCAAAGCCCCCTTGAAAAGTCTTGTGGCCTGAGGATGGGAGGAGAAGGGCTGGGGGCAGCCTGCAGGGGCCAGGGGCACAGGCAGCTCCCAGCTGAGGGCCCTAGGTGTCCCTCATACCCTCCACAGAACCTTCTAGTGCTAGTGTTCTGTAATCCCAGGGAAGGTGAGACACTCTTGGAGGTGACTAAAAGGCAGGTGTGTGGCCCCTTGGGTGCTCCCCTCACCCCAGGTCGCCTCATGGGTAAAGCAAGGCCCTGCAGGGGAGGGGATTGGGCCAGGCCTAGCACAGGGTGAGACCGGGGTGAGGTGTGCAAACTCGTGCCTCTAGGATCCCACAGGGGCTAGTCGGACTTTAGTGACTAGTGACTTGGCCTTGAATCGCCTAGAAGCACAGTTGGGTTTCCTCTGTGGCTCCTGGACTCCCCCAGACACTCCGTGGCCCACTGGCCCCAGCCTCCTGTCCATACCAGCCAGTGAGAGGGAGGCTGGGCCAGTCCAGGCTGGAGCTGCCAGGAAGCCAGGGAGAGAAGACAGCAACTTCCAGTGCTGCTCTCTGCACGCCGGGCATTGGCCTGCTCATAGCCTGGGCTCCATTGGCTTCCCCCAGGCCAAGTCCTTGCGTTCTCTTGCATCTGCCATGTGTCCGCATGGCCCTCTTTCTATCTATCTGTGCAAAGTTCTGTTACTGCCGTTTTAATTTGGTGTGACTTGTACTCGATGACAATAACCTTCTTAGCTCTCATGTCCCTCCTACCCCAGCAGTTGACCAAGCTCCACCAGTTGGCCATGCAGCAAACCCCCTTTCCTCCCCTCGGACAGACCAACCCCGCTTTCCCCGGTACGTACCCAGCCCTTTTCTCACCTCCTTCTCTTCTCACCTGGGGACTTTCTCTTTCTGAGCTGTGTTATTCGGTGCAGCGTGTAGAACAGGTGCAGTTGGAGTTGTGAGTGCCGGTAGTGCAGGGTTCACATGCAGCAGGCTTGCTGGGACCGGGACTGGGGACAGGGCAGGGGCGGGATGTGGGTCTCGCTCCCACTGTGGGGAGCTAGTTCACCTTACAGCTGGCCTTGCCATAGCCTTACTTGTGAAGAGATGTCTGCGCACCGAGGGTCTGCACTTGCTGGACAGTGCCCTGTGCTGCCCACAGTCTGTCCTGGGTGGCCCCTCCTGCTGAGCGTACCCGTTGGGCCGCCCTGGAGGCTTTTCTCTCCAGGAACGAGAGCATAGCAGACGTGGATGCTATTCTGCAGGAAGCCACTGCGTATCCCAAGGTGGCACCCAGCCCTGCCCCAGGAGAGCAGTGGCCTGAGTCAGCCCCAGCCCAGTCGCTGTCATGAGGCCATCAAGGGTGGCCATGCGTGGCAAGCCCATCCTGCCCCTGGCATGCCTGGCAGTTGGGTGTCCCTCCCCACAGAGGCAGTGCCATGCCTGTGGCTAACCCCCCTCCCCCTGGCGTGCCTGGCAGTTGGGTGTCCCTCCCCACAGAGGCAGTACCATGCCTGTGGCCGTGGCCGGAGAGAGCGCCGGTGCGTGCGCCAGTCATATTTTGAGCTTCCCTAGTTGAAGGGACCCTGCTTATCTCCTTGAGGGCAAAACATTAAACCTGTCTCTTCTTTGCTCTCCAGGAGAAAAGCTGCCTTTACACTCCTCCGAAGAAGCTCAAAATCTGATGGGCCAGTCATCAGGTAACACAAAGCCACACTGACAGGAGAGCAGGCCAGGGCGGCAGAGCAGAGCCCCAGCGGGAGGAGGTGTGGGGGCCCTACAGCTGCAGCAGTTTACATCTTTCATGGGAGGCTGTGGACCAGCCTCAGGCGCTGCCAAGGGCATGGGTGGTGCCATGCTGCCACTGTGGCTGGATGGTGGGGCCTGAGGTGCTCAGAGCAAAGCACCCCAGCAACAAGAGTTGGCCATGGGAGCAGGAAATGGAGTTCTCACCATGGTGCGCTTTGGAAGTGGGTTTTTTAGGACTATGAGCAAACCCTTAAGGAGGAAGATCAGTCTGTGCTGGATTTGCCTGCACCCCTCCCGACTTGCATTAAAATGTTCATTCCTCAGATACTGTGGGGTAGCACATAGATTTGTAGATTTGGTGACCGAGGCCATGAAACAGACACAGTTGTTTGCCTGGGGCTTAGCGGGTTCCTAGGTGCCCATGAGGAAGATGCCACACACACGCAACACCTCATGGCTCCATGTGCACGTGGCCGGTGCCACAGTGGCTTCCTGGTGGCCAGGCAGGTGTCCTGTGATGACCCTCCCCTCACCAAGGCCCTGGGGACTGCAGTGCACACACATGCCAGCCACAGCAGGGTTAAACTGAGTGGGCAGCAATGGGAGGTGTTTGTGGCCTTTTTGAATGCTGAGGCCAGGAGACTTCCAGCGTGGGCTTGGGCAGCAGGTTGGGGCAGCCTCCTTTACACTGGTATCTGGAATGTCAACATCTTCATAAGAAACAGACTCATCTGGGCCATGCCATCCTGAGATGAATGAACACATTGGTCATGCCGTCCTGAGATGAATGAACCCAACCGTCATGCTGTCCTGAGATGAATGAACACCTGGGCCATGCCATCCTAAAATGAATGAACACATCGGCTGTGCTGTCCTGAGATGGATGAACACCTGGGCCTTGCCGTCCTGAGATGGATGAACAAATCAGCCATGCCGTCCTGAGATGGATGGACATCTGGTCCATGCCATCCTGAGATGAATGAACAGATCAGCCATGCTGTCCTGAGATGAATGAACACCTGGGCCATGCCATCCTGAGATGAATGAACACGTTGGCCATGCTGTCTTGAGATGGATGAACACATCGGCCATGTTGTCCTGAGATAGATGAACACATCGGCCATGCTGTCCTGAGATGAATGAACACCTGGGCCACGGTGTCCTGAGAGGGATGAAAACCTGGGCCATGCTGTGGATGAACACATTGGCCATGCTCTCTTGAGATGAATGAACACATCAGCCATGCTGTCCTGAGAGGGATGAACACCTAGGCCTTGCCGTCCTGAGATGAATGAACACACTGGCCATGCCGTCCTGAGATTAATGAACACATCGGTCATGCTGTCCTGAGATGGATGAACACCTGGGCCTTGCCATCCTGAGATGGATGAACACATCAGCCATGCTGTCCTGAGAGGGATGAACACCTGGGCCTTGCCGTCCTGAAATGAATGAACTTAACAGTCATGCTGTCCTGAGATGAATGAACAACCTGGGCCATGCCGTCCTGAAATGAATGAACACATCCGCTATGCTGTCCTGAGATGGGTGAACACCTGGTCCATGCCGTCCTGAGATGAATGAACACACTGGCCATGCCGTCCTGAGATTAATGAACACAACGGTCATGCTGTCCTGAGATGAACGAACACATCGGCCATGCCATCCTGAGATAAACAAACACCTGGGCCATGCTGTCCTGAGATGAATGAACACCTGGGCCTTGCTGTCCTGAGATGAATGAACACATTGGTCATGCCGTCCTGAGATGAATGAACCCAACCGTCATGCTGTCCTGAGATGAATGAACACCTGGGCCATGCCATCCTAAAATGAATGAACACATCGGCTGTGCTGTCCTGAGATGGATGAACACCTGGGCCTTGCCGTCCTGAGATGGATGAACAAATCAGCCATGCCGTCCTGAGATGGATGGACATCTGGTCCATGCCATCCTGAGATGAATGAACAGATCAGCCATGCTGTCCTGAGATGAATGAACACCTGGGCCATGCCATCCTGAGATGAATGAACACGTTGGCCATGCTGTCTTGAGATGGATGAACACATCGGCCATGTTGTCCTGAGATAGATGAACACATCGGCCATGCTGTCCTGAGATGAATGAACACCTGGGCCACGGTGTCCTGAGAGGGATGAAAACCTGGGCCATGCTGTGGATGAACACATTGGCCATGCTCTCTTGAGATGAATGAACACATCAGCCATGCTGTCCTGAGAGGGATGAACACCTAGGCCTTGCCGTCCTGAGATGAATGAACACATCGGTCATGCTGTCCTGAGAGGGATGAACACCTAGGCCTTGCCGTCCTGAGATGAATGAACACACTGGCCATGCCGTCCTGAGATTAATGAACACATCGGTCATGCTGTCCTGAGATGGATGAACACCTGGGCCTTGCCATCCTGAGATGGATGAACACATCAGCCATGCTGTCCTGAGAGGGATGAACACCTGGGCCTTGCCGTCCTGAAATGAATGAACTTAACAGTCATGCTGTCCTGAGATGAATGAACAACCTGGGCCATGCCGTCCTGAAATGAATGAACACATCCGCTATGCTGTCCTGAGATGGGTGAACACCTGGTCCATGCCGTCCTGAGATGAATGAACACACTGGCCATGCCGTCCTGAGATTAATGAACACAACGGTCATGCTGTCCTGAGATGAACGAACACATCGGCCATGCCATCCTGAGATAAACAAACACCTGGGCCATGCTGTCCTGAGATGAATGAACACCTGGGCCTTGCTGTCCTGAGATGAATGAACACATCGGCCATGCCATCCTGAGATGAATTTACACATTGGCCATGCTGTCCTGAGATGAATGAACGAATACGTCAGCCATGCTGTCCTGAGATGGATGAACACCTGGGCCTTGCTGTCCTGAGTTGGATGAACACATCAGCCATGCCATCCTGTGATGAATGAACACAGCAGCCATGCCATCCTGTGATGAATGAACACATTGGCCATACTGTCCTGAGATGAGTGAACACCTGGGCCATGCCATTCTGAGATGAATGAACACATCGGCCATGCTGTCTTGAGGTGAATGAACACATTGGCCATGCCGTCCTGAGATGAATGAACACATCAGCCATGACATCCTGAGATGAATGAACACATTGGCCATACTGTCTTGAGATGAATGAACAGATCGGTCATGCCGTCCTGAGAGGGATGAACACCTGGGCCTTGCCATCCTGAGATGGATGAACACATCAGCCATGCCGTCCTGAGATGGATGGACACCTGGTCCATGGCATCCTGAGATGAATGAACACATCGGCCATGCCCTCCTGAGATGAATGAACACATCGGCCATGCCGTCCTGAGATTAATGAACACAACGGTCATGCTGTCCTGAGATGAATGAACACATCGGCCATGCCGTCCTGAGATGACCAAACACCTGGGCCATGCCGTCCTGAGATGAATGAACACCTGGGCCATGCCGTCCTGAGATGAATGAACACATCGGCCATGCCATCCTGAGATGAATGAACACATTGGCCATGCTGTCCTGAGATGGATGAACACCTGGGCCTTGCTGTCCTGAGTTGGATGAACACATCAGCCATGCCATCCTGAGATGAATGAACACATCGGCCATACTGTCCTGAGATGAATGAACACATCAGCCATGCTGTCTTGAGATGAATGAACACATTGGCCATGCTGTCTTGAGACGAATGAACACATTAGCCATGCCATCCTGAGATGAATGAACACATTGGCCATGCTGTCTTGAGATGGATGAACACATCGGCCATGCTGTCCTGAGATGAATGAACACCTGGGCCATGCTGTCCTGAGAGGGATGAACACCTGGGCCATGCTGTGGATGAACACATTGGCCATGCTGTCTTGAGATGAATGAACACATTGGTCATGCTGTCCTGAGAGGGATGAACACCTGGGCCTTGCCATCATGAGATGGATGAACACATCAGCCATGCGATCCTCAGATGAACACATCGGCCATGCCATCCTGAGATGAATGAACACATCGGCCATGCTGTCTTGAGATGAATGAACACCTGGGCCTTGCTGTCCTGAGATGGATGAACACATCAGTCATGCCGTCCTGAGATGGATGGACACCTGGTCCATGCCATCCTGAGATGAATGAACATATTGGCCATGCTATCTTGAGATGGATGAAACACACTGGCCATCCTGTCCTGAGATGAATGAACAACTGGGCCATGCTGTCCTTAGATGGATGAACACCTGGGCCATGCTGTGGGTGAACACATTGGCCGTACTCTCTTGAGATGAATGAACACATCAGCCATGCTCTCCTGAGAGGGATGAACACCTGGTCTATGCCGTCCTGAGATGAATGAACACATTGGCCACGCTGTCCTGAGATGAATGTCCTGGTTATGCAGACATTTCTTTATATTATTTGCTTAACTTTAGTGCCCTCCTAGGAAGATTTCCCATACTTTCCTCCCTTCAATCAAAATATCCCAAGTTCAACAGGTCTGGCTCACTGCTCTCTGTTCATCTAAGGTCTACTTTGTTCGGGAATTCCTGTCTAGGACTCAGGCAGGACCAAGGAAATCTTTTAAGTGACATTTTAAATATCACTGTTTATGGAATGTGTGTAGGTAGTTGAATAATCAAATAAGTGTTGTTTTGAAAGTATCTTTATTAAAAGAATATAAAGAACAGAAACTCTAGGCTTATATGTGTAAAAGAAAAATAATGGAGAATTAGAGATGAATTGGTTCATTCAGCACCAATTGATCCCCTCCTGTGCTGGACGGCCCCACAGGACTGCATCTACCCTGTGGGGTCACTCCTTGCCAGGGAGACTGGCTGGTCACAGTGAGAGGATCCTCTGGTTGGGGGTGTCAGTACCATAAGACAAGATGAGAGGTGGCATTGTAGACAGACTGCCCCACCCAGGGCCCAGGGGGGTGTGGCTGGCAGGGACGGGGGGCAGGGCAGAGGTGGTGGGAAAGAACAGGAGCTGTGTGGCTTTAACATGGAGTTAGGGGACACAGGAGGCGCTGTGAGGAAGTAGGAGCTCATTGGGAGTCTACTGCCATTGGACATGCATTTTGGGGAGCCCTCTGGTCTGTCTGGAACCTAGGCTAAGGGGCACAGCAGAGGCAGGAACCAGCAACAGGGGAGCATGTGGGTGGGAGGAGGGCTTCCCAGTCTGGGGTATTCTGAAGGTACATCAGCCGGGCCTGTGATGGTTAGGAGGGGTGGATCCTGCGGTTTCCAGGGCCCAGGCTGAGCTGCAGAATCCGAGTCATAAGAACCATGTGGGGCCTGCAAGGGGAAGAGCAGAGTGTCAGCGTTAGACTTGCAGGTTGGAGCCACCACTTGTCCAGGAAATGGAAATGCTGAGCATGAAGAGCACAGCAGGCCTCTGGCCCCGCCCCTCCTGTGCCAACACTCATGAGGCTTGCAGCCTCCAAGCAAGAGCAAATCTTGGACTTGGACTCTGAGAGGTTGTCTTTTATCTGATGGTACTAAGTGGAGATTTGTAAATATAAAAGCTCAGGCTTGATGATCAGTTAGACCCATATTGTCATTCTTCAACAAAGAAAGATATCTATATAGAAATATGCAGCTTTTCATTGGCCCTAGCACTTCTTTTTTGGCTCAGTGATGCTATTGAATCTCCTTGCTCCAATTTGGAAGAACTGCCTGGTGGGCCTGAGCTGTCTGAGCCAGGCTATGTGCAGGGGCCTCTGGACAGAGTTACATCAGAATCGGAATGAGAGGCAACTTTGTGTGCTCTGCCATCTGCTGTCCCATGCAGCAGGCCAGAGGGTATCACAGGGAGGTGGGGCACTGTTGGGTAGAGTGGTGTGGGCCTCAGAACCAGTGGGGTCTCCTGAGAACTAAGGGAAAATGGGCACTCAGCATCAGTGTGACCAGCATGGCCTGTGCCCTGGGTGCTGCACAGAGACCCTGAGACATGCTGGGTGGCCCTGCCCTTCAGCCGGGGGCCCACCAGGGTGGCCTTCCAAGGTGTCACAAGAGAGCATACAAACATGACAGGGGAGTGAAGTCACACTGTGCACAAAATGAAAAAAAAAAAAAAATGTCCTGCTTAAGTCTCTCTTTCCTTCTTTTGAGAGAAGTTGGGACTAAGGAAGTTGGGTGGCAGTTTCGGACCGAAAGCTCACAGGCTCCTCACCCTCTGGGCTGTGCTGACCCTCACACTTGGGCCAGCTCTACAGCCCTGTCTCACTTGAACCAGGAGAGTGGGGGCACTGGGGTGTGACTGTTAGCAGCGTTCCACCAGCCTAACCATGTCCCCTTGGTATGCCCAGGTCTGGACGCCAGCCCACCGGCCAGCACTCATGAGCTCACCATTCCCAATGATGTGAGTATGCCCCCCGTACCCGCCTGTCCCTGGGTGGAAACACTAGGCACAAGTGGCTGTCAGCTCTGCTGTCCTTTGTGCAGAGGGACCCACTGCTTGGTGATGCCTTCACCACCCCAACCCCACTGTTTGATCTGTGTTCTCCCTCCTTTCCTTTTTAAAGTGGGTTTAATGCCCATAAAAAGTTGTGTGCTTTTGTATCCCTAATATGTTGAACAAGCAGCAGGCTAAAGGGGACTTCAGATATTAATCAGTAGTCAGATGAGAGTTGGGCTGAGAACCCATGTTGCTGTGGAGGCACTGCCCTGGTATGGGTCAAACCTTGAAGAACAAGGTGGCCCAGGAATGCTCTAGAGTGGACCCACCCGCAGTATTATCTCCATGGGCCCTGGCCCCTTAGGAGGTTTGGGATTCTCCATGAGTTGGCTCCAACAGACCTGAAGTTGGTTGGATGTCACAGACTTGTCTAGATTTCTTCTAGCACCCCTCAGTCTGTTCATGCCTTAAGCATACCTGAGGATGTGGCCTTACGAGCTCCCCTCAACACACTCAGTCCTCCCCAGAGTAAGCATGGGTCCTGAGGATAGTGAGGACTATTCTCTGAATGCTTGACTTATCCACAAACTGAGAGACCAGGTAGGGCATGGGCCATATGTCCTTGAGGGATAGCTGCCAGAGCAGCAAGCAGAGTCCCTGTGTGGGCTGTGGAGATGGCTGCCCCACTTATAGCTCGAGCGTCCAGCAGCCTTTTCTGCCCTAGAGCTGTGGATTTTGGGAACCTTCACTGTTCTGCCCCCCTTTACACCTGCTGGGCAGGAATTCTAAGCCCTGTTCCTTCCTTTCATACAAACTGACCATAGGAAGCACAGATTTGGCAGTTCAGGGAGATCACCAGTCCTGTGTGTGGAAGATGGACAGTGGAGCGGGAGAAAAAGAGGCAGAAGAGAGCAGGGTCACCAGAGGAGCGGATCATGAGGCTGTCTGGCTGGTGCCACTCACCCACCTGAAGAGCCATCTCATTTGAGCCCCTCGTGGCAATGTGCACTCTAGGCCTTCTGTCCCAGTTGCTGGTCAGGGACAGAGTCCCCATGTCTGCTAACAGAAGCTCAGGACACTCACCCTCCAGGCAGCATTGTGGTCCAGCCTTCTGGCATCCCCGAGGATTTCTAAGGTTGGCCCAACTTGAAAGGCAGCAGCACAGAGCCATCTGCCCAGGTGTGGGGTGGCACAGCCAACTGGTCCCTGCATTCTTGGAGAGAGGGGATTTTTCCTCAACCCTTTCCCTCACTGCAGTGGTTCCTTGAGCATGCGGCTTCTGGCATCCTCTTGAGTCTTTTCCTCCAGATAGTAAAGCCAGCAGGCTTTTTCTGTGGGGTTTTGCTCCTTTGGTGAATCGTGTTCACCAACACCAGGTTTGGTCTTATCCAAACACTCATTTAAAACGGGAATGAGCTTTAAGAGGATGAGTCATCTTTGGAGAGCTGGTCAACCTGTTTCCTGGGGTCCCCTTTGTACAGACGGATGCTGGTTTTCCCAGCTCTTCACCACTCACATCCCATCCTCCTCCTGGTGATCTTCCTAGGGAAGAGACCCACTTCTCAGAAGGAAGGCAGCTTCCTCTTATCCCAGTGCATTTGGGCGTAGCCTTCCATGCTTCTTCATGGAAAAAGCTGTTGATGGCGCTGTCAGGGGCTTTCACCAGCACCCCCAGACTTCATGGGGGATGTATTTGGGCTGCACCAAAGCTGATGTTCCTCACGTGGTGGCTGCCTGCTACCTTCTTGGAGAAAAGGAAGAAATAAAATGGTGTGCTTGTTCTGAACTTGCCTGTCATCTCGTTCACGTCCGTCTCTTGGTCACAGTTGGATCATGCTGCCTCAGGGTTCCTGCAGAAAGACATTGCTTGGAGGCAGGGACTCCTGAGACTCGCAGGCTCCCCAGCACGGCCAGTGGGGACACAGGGCAGTCCAGGGGCCCCAGGCCTTTGGTTCCCTTTCTGACGGTCACTGTGGGCTTCCCTCGATGCCTATTTCAGTGCTTGCTCTTGGCCATGCAGACTGTGGTGCCTGTGGTCACCCCTACTCTGCCCTAAGCAACAGTCACCCACCCACCAAAGCTCATGCCCCTTTCCCTGGTTCTCAGCTGCAGAATCAGCCAGGCCTTCTGCTGGGGAAAGGAATCTAAGGTGTCCAACAGTGGTCTCTAGGAGGAGAGGCTGCAGTGGGAGGTGTCACCACAGTTCCAGTGGAATTTGGCATTGACATCTGATTAGGAGGGCCACGTTATTTCAGAATATTTCTGTCGTTCTTCTTTGAATTTGTAATGGAGGCACACGAGGATGAGAGGAGGCGAGGAGTCTGCTAACTGCTGGCAGGGTTCACAGGTGCAGGTGGGGCCAGGTGGGAGGTGCCCTTGGGCTGCAGAGCTCAGCCTAGAAGCCATCTTCCCCTTCACTGAGCCAGCCAGCCTAGGGCAGGGCAGGTGAAGGAGGTCCGACCTCCCCACATTCCCTTCTCACAGCAGAGAGTGCCGGTACAGAAATCACAGTGCTGTTCACCTTGGCATTTGTGGTGAGGTGGGCATGCCTTGGTGGCTCAATGATGTCCCATCAGCATTCAGACCCCACAGCTGTGTGCAGAGGAGGGGAAAGGCCTGTGGCAAAGGCAGCATCCTCCAGAGCCTGGGGAGAGGGGCACCCTGAGCAGCACATCGCAGGGAACAGAGGGAGAGGGCGGGGTGAGAGCAGGAGGGGAATGCGTGCCAGGGCACAGCTGGCGTGAGGCAGTTAGAAGACGGGCAGATGGTTAAGAGAAAAGGGTAGGCACTTTGTGCGGGAGGGGCAGGGAGATACTTCCTCCAGCAGGCTCTGAGGAGAGATCCAACAGCATACGTGCACAAGGCTCTCAGTGGTGTGCACTTCAGCAGATACCACGCACTCCAGTGCATGAAGTGCTAGGAGGAAAGCTGGCTGCGTGCTGGCCAAGGAGGGGTACAGGAAGTGGGGCAGTGCGAAAGCCCAGGAGCTCTCCCTCCTGGATGTTGGCATCTTACAGGGACCTGTGGTCATGCTGCCGAGTCAGCCACATTCCCCCTCCCCATGCGGCCGTGCTGCTGTCCCTGGCCCCCATCAGAGATGAGCCCTTCAGATCTCCCTGCCACCAGGGAGGAGGATGCAGCCAGGCGGGTAAATGTGGCCTTGTGCCGATGAGGAAACCACCCTCCTGACCCCAGGGGCACACTGAACACCACACACAGGTGTGAGCAGGGAGAGGGCTGGACTGTGGGTGGGGCCTTGGGAGATGTGGGTGGGGCCTGGGAGATGTGGGTGGGGCCTGAGAGGTGTGGGTGGAGCCCAGAGATGCAGCAGGAGATAGAGGACTCCCAGCAGCCCTGGATTCTCTAGAGTGGGGGTCTCTGTAGATGTCTGCAAAGACTGAGGGTTCTGTAGTCTAGTAAGACAGCTGTCATTTCCTAAGTAACCAGCAGAGACGGCCTCTAAGGTGAACAGAGTTGAGACACCGTAGGTCTCCTCAGGGACGGGGGCTGACTGGCAGGGCAGCTGTGTCCCACCATGGAGCTGCTGCTCACACCACAGATTGAGCCCCGTCACGCTTGGAAGTGTGCGTCCCTCCTGCATGCCGCCACATGGCCTGGCCCAGCCCTTCCACCCAGCATCTCACTGGCGTAAGGACAGAAACCTGCTCCTGTCACTCAATTTCACCACCGTTCTGACAGCCTAGCAGCCTCAAGGGAGGTGGAAGTGGACTCCGCCTGAGGCCCTCAGGGACCTGTGTGCCCAGTTGCCCTCCTGGCGCCCTGTGCCAGGTACCTTCCAGTCTCGGGCTCTCTCTGCCACAGGTCTGGCTACTTCTCTCTCCTGTCCAAGCTCCAGAGCTCTCATCGATGGCCTGTGCGTGCATGAAGGGACTTCCGTCCAGTGGTGGGCATTGAGAGATGCCACTGGCTCCTGTGCAGTCTTCTCTGGGGGCCCGAGTTGTCCCTGAGGCCCCTCATGGCTGCTCCATACACCCCCCTCCTCCCTCAGCTACTTCAAGGAGCACCCTCATTCTTGATGACCGCCTTGGCCAGAGGCTACTATGTTCCATCTTTAAACAGGGGTCCCAAAGGGAGAATGAAAGGAGGCCCCTGAATGGCCTCAGAGTTTCACCTAAGTTCAGCAAAAGCTAAGTTTTAGGCAGCAGTGAGTTTTGCTCTGGCTTCAAGCACACATTTCTTTTTGAGCATTTGTGATGCTGCCTGTCTGGGCAGAACTGGTCTCCCTGGGATGCGGCCAAGAAGACGCCGCCAGGCCGTGGTAGAGCCTCCCTGCTCAGCCCCTGGCTGCCACCTGTGGGTCGCTCCTGGACCCTGGGGTGACCAGTGTGGACCGCCCAGGCCGAGTGACTGTGGCCTCTTGGCTTGGTGGACCTCCCACAGGAGCGGGGAGCAGGGCGGCTCTGAGAGGGGCCAGCAGAGGCACAGGTGCTCTTAGCCTGACCTCGGGCAGGTGGCCTGGATCAGGCACCACCTGTAGGCAGGTGTGGGCGGGACCTCTCCAGGGTGTTGCACTCAGGGCTTGGGGCAGAGTCCAAGGCTGGCGGCCCGTCCCACAGGCCCCTCGGGCACACTGCCCACAGTCTTCAGGGGCTGGCTCGGGCTCTTCTCTAAGAAATCCCCCTGTCCTTGTTTCTAGCTAATAGGCTGCATAATTGGACGCCAAGGGACCAAAATCAATGAAATTCGACAGATGTCTGGAGCTCAGATCAAAATCGCCAACGCCACTGAAGGGTCATCAGAGCGTCAGATCACCATCACGGGGACCCCGGCCAACATCAGCCTTGCCCAGTATCTCATCAACGCCAGGTGAGCAGCTCCCAAGGGCCTCTGAGAGACGCCCGGAAAGGGACGCACCAGCTGGCGTTACATCACCTGGACAGTCGGGGGTAGGAGGAGGCACGGTCTGGGCCACACTCTGCCTCCCGCTCTGTCCCCTCTGCTCCAGGCCGGATAGTGGGGACAGGATGGGATGGCGACAGGCTTCATGTAGACATGAGGCCACCTCACTCTCCCGACCTCCCACCCAAAGTGTCTCCAGGGATGATCCCAGAGGCTAGAGAGGAAGGCAGGTGCTCCCGTGGCCCCAGACAGGCGGCCAAACCTATGCTGGAAGACCTGACTCGTGTGCACTCAGAGCTCTCCAGAAAGACCAATGTTTGGGGACTTTGCTGTTTTGCCTCCTTTTTCATCCTCATGGAAAAGTGTAGGGAAAGGCAGGAAAGGACTCTGCAGGCCGTTTCCTTCCGTGGGTCCCTGGTGCACATGGGAGGGTCTGAAGCCACCTGGGTCCCTGTGACTATACCCGACTTGGCCTCAGGCCAGTGCCCCACCCCTGCCAGGCAGGCTGTACCACCAGCCACCCCTCCAGGCAGGTCGTACCACCAGCGCCCACGCCTGCCCGACACACCACACCACCAGCCCCCCGCCAGGCACGCTGCACCACCAGCCCCCCGCCAGGCACGCTGCACCGCCAGCCCCCCGCCAGGCACGCTGCACCGCCAGCCCCCCGCCAGGCACGCTGCACCGCCAGCCCCCCCGCCAGGCACGCTGCACCGCCAGCCCCCCGCCAGGCACGCTGCACCGCCAGCCCCGCCTCTGATGTAAGGAACATCCCTCCTCCCTCCCCAAGGATGTCCTCCTGGAAGAGCCCCAAGCTGGGCTTGTGGGAGGCAAGGGGAGGGGAGGGAACGGGAGGGGTCTCTGGGTGGACACAGCCCTGTGTGGGCCCTTCTGCTATCTGCGCGCTCAGTGAGTGGGTGAGGGGCTGCCTGGAGAGGACCAGGAGCCCCCCTGACTTTACCCACTGATGCCCCCCTGGGCTTCTGCCTTGATCCAGAGCCAGGTTGGGCCTCTTTCCATCCCTGTGGCTGCAGGCCCATGGGCGGGAGGCTGAGCAAAGCGCATTGTTGGCAAACCCAGGGTAAGCCTGGGGATGGGGCTGGTCAGGGAGGCTCCCACCTGCCCGACCACATCACTGATAGCCCCACTGGGACCTGTGCTTGGGGCCAGATGGCTCTTACCCACATACGCTCACTCCTGTGGCAACCAAAGCCCCTTCTCAGATGCCAGGTGTGAGACTGGGAAGCCCTTGTGCACCCCCAAGGGCAGACCCAGGGCTGCATGGGAGGCTCCATACAGGGAAGGCCTCAAGCCCCCATGCAGGGCTGGCTCACACACCTGACGTGGTGACGGGCATGCGGGGACCAGGGCGGAGAAGAGGCGTGTGTGCTCTGCTGTGGTCTCCAGCTCAGAACTTCTGAGCCGACCGGGACAGCCTGTCCCAGCGAGCACAGAGGCCACACAGCCCAGCCTCACGTCTGCCCACTGATGAGGATGTTCATTGTGACCGTCTCTCCCTCTCCTGCCTTTGTTCTAGGCTGACGTCCGAGGTCACCGGGATGGGCACGCTCTAATCCTACCCAGCACCCTCCCCCGACGTCACCCACCTGCCAGATCCCAAGGCCCCGGCTCGCACTCTGTACAGCCCACCTTCCCTGTTCCCTGCCTCACAGATACCAATCGAGAGGCTTTCTTAATTAACAAAAGGACGTATGCCATGGAGAAACACACCCGTGCACACAGCCACTCTCCACAGAGGCTGCAGGCTCCGCTGAGCCCCCCTTCAGTGTTATTTATGACTTACAACGCTCCAGTCTGCCCATGCACCGGCATGCAGTGTTCATTATTTTAGAAATATTGTTCCTTGGTGTCAGCGTAGCTGTCTGTCTTAGGAGCTGGGTCGGCGTTCCGACAGCACTTCCTGTCTACTATTCTCCTCCGCCATCCAGAACTGTCCAGAACTGTTGCCTGAGACCCCTCCTGTCTCACACAACCCTGCTGTGCTGACTCAGTTTCCCTTCAGAGCCAGTGCCATCTGGGCTCGAGTTTCTCTCCCAGGTTGTGTGCTGGAATCAGAGGTGGCTCTCCTGCCACCCACGGGGAGCACCACCCACGGGGAGCACCAGGAGAGGAGGGTTGTGGAGGATGTTGGGGCTCTGACCTCAAGAGTGGGGTGGAGGGCGGAGCCTGCTGGGGGCCCTGCCTCCACAGAGATGCCGCGTGCTGGGAAGGCATCGGGGTCCCCTGAGCGTCTTCCAGGGTGGCTGGAGAGCACAGACGCGCCAGGGAGCCCCTCTGTGCTCCTCAGAGTTCAATAAATGTCGTGGCCCCTCCTCACCGGCTCTGGCTCATCTCTGTGCCCCCCAATGCACCCAGGCCCCAGCATGTCCTTCCCCTGGGGAGACATTGCCCTGAGCCCGGTGCTTATCAGAGAAGCCTGAGTTTCTTCTCACCCACAGATACGATTTCATTCCCCCTTTCCACAACACACATAAGCACTTCTATTTGTACTTTGGCAAAACTACTTAAAATGACAAACACAAAAACACCATTCTTGCCCAGGCACCAAAATGCCAGTTCCTATTCATGAGACTTACTCCCCCACAGCCATCGTGGGTACCAGAGGCTGTGCCCGGTGACCCCCAGTGCTTCCACAGCGTGGAGCCTGTCCACGTCACACCCACTTGGGGACGGTCCGCGTGGCTCACTTGGCAGCCTGTGCTCACCTTAAGGAGTCCAGCTGTGCCCCTGCTCGGTCCTCAAGCCCTGGATGTGACTCAGGCCCTCCCTTCAGGTGATTAATCCCTAACCCAGGCCCAGGGCATGGGGGGAGCCCCCAGGTGATTTATCAGGAAGGACCCAGACCCAGGATGGAGGGGGAACCAGGCACCAGGGAAGGCAGGACTCGGAGGCTGCTGTCCCAGCTCTGCAGGCTCAGGGCACCACCTCCACACCTGGATCCTAGTGTTCACGGAACCTTCTAGAAGGTGGTGGGCCTGGTATGTGTGGACAGACACAGCTCACTGACCCCTCACTGGAGGTGTCTGTCAAGAGTCAGCAGTTCCAGGAGGATGGGAGTCTGGCCAGAACCTGGGGAGCCTCCAAGGGCCCAGGACAGCCTGCCCCAGGCTGCTAGCCAGCCACAAGGCACCGGCTCACAGGAGCCCCTTCCTGCCTGATCAGGCAGAAGCCGCCCTGTTTCCCAGACTCCACCTGTCCTGCCTCAGGCACCTGGCTGAGGTGCTGGCCTGGAGGGCCCTGACAGCCTCCTGGACACACTCCTTGCCCACCTCTGCCCCCGGGAGGGCCCAGTCACAGAAGTGAGCCCAGCATGGCACCTGGGAACACGTGCTGGCAGCTTAGGACTGAAGTTCCCCCTGGGGAAGACACAGGCCTTCCTCAGCACCCGTGTCAGTGGCGATGGTTAGCCAGCAGCGTGGATACAACTGACAATGACAGATGCCCTGGAAATAAGACACCACGAGAAGAGAGGAATCAAAATGCGATGGAAGGACCCCTAGAAGATGCAGGCTGGGCAGGACCTAAGAAGGTAAGGGGTTAGTTGCTCACTTATCTGGACGAACAGCAGGCAATGGAGCACTCCAGGTGGGGAGCACTCCAGGTGGGGAGCACTCCAGGTGGGGAGCGCTCCAGGTGGGGGGCGCTCCAGGTGGGGGGGCGCTCCAGGTGGGGGGGCGCTCCAGGTGGGGGGCCTCCAGGTGGGGGAGCGCTCCAGGTGGGGGGGCGCTCCAGGTGGGGGGCGCTCCAGGTGGGGGGGCGCTCCAGGTGAGAAGCATTCCAGGTGGGGAGCACTCCAGGTGGGGGCACACTCCAGGTGGGGAGCACTCCAGGTGGGGGAGCACTCCAGGTGGGGGGGGCACTCCAAGTGAGGAACACTTCAGGTGGGGGGAGCACTCCAGGTGGGAAGCATTCCAGGTGGGGAGCACTCCAGGTGGGGGCACACTCCAGGTGGGGAGCACTCCAGGTGGGGGAGCACTCCAGGTGGGGGGGCACTCCAAGTGAGGAACACTTCAGGTGGGGGGAGCACTCCAGGTGGGAAGCATTTCAGGTGGGGGTGTCACTCCAGGTGGGAGGAGCACACTAGATGTGGGAAGCACATCAGGTGCAGGGGCAGCCAGAGCTGGGGTAGAAGGGAGCCCAGAGCACGTGAGGAGGGGAGACGGGGGTGCTGCAGTGGCAGGGTGGGGGTTGTGCAGAACTCTCAGCCCCTCAGGACTCGGGGGCACAGAGGCACAGCAGAATCCAGAGTCCCAGCTGGGCATGAGGGGGACTGAGTGGGGACTCAGAGCCAGGGACCAGGGCTCCAAACCAGAGCGGGAGGCCTCCTGTCACCAGGGGCAGCTCACAGGGCAGTGCTGCGAGCGTTGGTTGAGCACCTGTGGACCTCACACGAGGACTGGGCTCTCCTGTGATGGGAGACCCTGCAAAGTGGCAATTCTCAGTTCCAAGGAATCAAGTGAGCACGAGCCTCACAGCCCTGCAGGTCAGCGGTTCCCATCCTGTGCCTTCTTCCATCTCCAGCAACCCAGCTCCTGGTGCCCCTTCCCCACAGAGTGAGTCCCAGTTCCACCCACAACCACGTGGTCAAGGCCTCGGGCTGAGGAAACGTGCAAGCTTAGAACAAGGGGCGCTGGGGCACCCCAGCTCTGGTGGGCACGCATCATGGGCGTAGGAAATGTGGCTGTTAGCTTCTAGAAGCCTGTGGCCGAGTCTCCATCTCGCCAGGGCACTGGCACCTGGCCCAGGGCCACGGGGTCACACCCTGTCACAGCGAGTGTCCCCAAGTCGCCAGACATCCCCGCACCTCGGTGTCCTGTGGACACAGCAGGGTCTATGCCCCCTGCTTCCTCAAGGACAGCAGTGGGGTCTGTGGCTGTCAGGAAAGGGGCAGGAATTGGCTGACTCCAGTGGCGTTAGATAGATGCTCACAGTAATTGGAAAATAATTTGACATTCTCATTAAGCAGCACACGTACGCAGAAGGGCGGCATCTGAGTCCCTCCGTTGCTGAGACTGGGATATGAACAGACAACAGAAATGGGTTGCTCACAATTCTGGAGGCGGGGACGTCGGAGATGGAGGCGCTGGGTTACGTGTCTGGTGAGGGCTGCTCTGTGCTTCCACGGGTGCCTTGTTACCGTGACCTCAGGCAGAGGAACGCTGCGTCCTCCCGTGGCTGGAGAGCGGAAGGACGAGCAGGCTGGAGGGCTCCCTTCAGCCTCCTGCAGAAGAGCGCTTGCCAGCTCATCACCTCACAAGAAGGCCTCTTACTACTGCTGTGTTGGGGATTACGTTTCAACATGAATTTTCAGCGGCCTGCATGTAGGAAGTAGCCTGTGACCATGGTGGACAGACCCCACAGAGGCCCCGGGACCCCCACTCAGCATTGAAGGACCCCCTCCCTGGGGCTGTGGGAGGGATCTGTGAGTTGCTTCTGACCTGTAGGATCAGAAGGGGCAAGGGGCCCGGATGTCACTCCCTGGCCCTGTGTAAGGCTCCAGCTCCCCTGCTGGCACTGGAGAAGCAAGCAGGCATTTTGGGGCTGCCCTGGAGTGCCCACAGAGTGTCCGCCTCTGGAGGTGGACTGCAGGCACCCCTCCGAGCGAGCTTGGGGGCCCCAGTGACAACCAGCCAACACCTGAAGCGCTCACTCCTGCAGCTGCAAGGAAATGAATTCTGCCAACAACCTGGGTGGGCCCGGAAGTGGGTTCTGCCCCAGTCCAGCCCCTGCATGGGAATGTGACCACCAGCTCCCCGATGGCAGCCTGGGAGACCCCGAAGAACAGGAGCTAGCTGAGCTGAGTCAACTCCTGATGCAGGAACTGAGTTAATACCTGGGCGCCGCTTCGGTCATTTGATGCACGGCTGGAAAACTAAGGCAGTGGTCAGACGCGTGGCTGGCGCTTCCTCCCGCTTCTACCTTCTGGAAGCTCGTGGGCGGGTCGAGGTCGGTGGGTGCTTCTGGGGTGGCAGGCGTCCCCAGCAGGCTGGGCCTGTCCCCAGAGGCTTAGGTCCGGTTGCTCTTTGGCCTGTGTGACCTCGGATCAACACATCCCCCTGATATGGGGCGCTCTGAGAGCCTGCCTGGCACGGGAAAGTCTCTGGTGTTGAACGCCGTTTTCACACAGAACAGTGGGCCGACATTCGTCCTAGAATGGGCAGTTTGGGTCTTGTGAAAATTTGACCATTTGCAATTTTTTCCAAACATTCTGTTTGAAAAGCGTCGCATTGTCCATTGTTGACATCTCTGAAAATCTTACCAGGACCGTGATTTTGTAAAATCAAGCTGCCTCACCAACAGCTCCCCGTCACGGGCCACAGGGAAAGACGCTGCCCTTACAAAGTCGAATTCATCCAGGCAGCCCTTGGACCACACAGTGGAGCTTCTCTTGCTGTTTTAACTGTATCTTCTTCCTGTCTTTTGGTTTCCAGAGTACAAGTCTTCTTTCATCTTATCATTTTCTCTTCCTTCTTTGTTGTCATTGTAATTATCTGTATTTTCTTGGCAACAACTGCCAATCACAAATTCTTCTTCTCCGTATTGTCGTGGTTGTGGCCCTGGAGCTTCCGGCTTCCTGTGTCAGCAGCCGACTTTCACCGTGTTTTGCTTTGCTTTTAACATTTTGAGGCCCCAGGATTTTGCTTCGTACATTTAGTCTCCAGTTGATTCTTTCCTGCTCGTCGAGTCTGAATTGTGGCATGAGGAATAATTCTGAAACATATATGCTACTATATATATAGTGTGTGTGTGTGTGTGTGTGTAAAGCCATAAGTAAGAGCAATTCAGATGGGGGTTTTTTGGTTGTTGTTTTTGTGTTTGTTTGAGATGGAGTTTTGCTCCTGTTGCCCAGGCTGGAGTGCAGTGGCATGATCTCAGTTTGCTGCAACCTCTGCCTCCCGGGTTCGAGCGATTCTCCTACGTCAGCCTCCGGAGTAGCTAGGACTACAGGTGCCCACCACCACGCCCGTCTAATTTTTGTATTTTTAGTAGAGACGAGGTTTTACCATGTTGGCAAGGCTGGTCTCGAACTCCTGACCTCGTGATCCACCTGCCTCGGCTTGCCAAAGTGCTGGGATTACAGGCGTGAGCCACCGCACCCGGGCTCAGATGGGTTTTTAAACTCCAACTGCCTAATAGTGCTCCAGTTACATAGCACTGTATTAATAGTACTCCGGTTACATAGCACTATATTCACATAGGTAGGGATGTGGGGAGGGAGCTTTGTCATTAAAGTATTGATATTTGTCTCTTCACACCATTCTGCGTGCCATGCATTAGTGCAGATTTGCTGCCATTTCATCCGGAACTGCCAGCGTGTATGAGGACAAGACACAGCAGACGCAGCAGGTGTACCGAGCTGTGCGGAGCCCGTGGTCCCACCGGGGTGCGTCTGCCGCGTGGAGCTGCAGGTGTGGCTCTCCCCACCCACTGCCTGTGTGATGGTGTGCCCTGCGCTACCGGCCCATTCCCAAGGGGAGAGGGTTCTCCTGTGGCCACAGTGTGAATTCTGTCGCTTGCTGACAGAGGCACACGGCTGAGGACTGAGGGAACTTCCCGCCAACGGGCTTTCATGCTGAACCATTTGAACCATTCTCCGTGACCAGCATATCCTGAAGCCGGCAAGTCCGCTCTCTGCCTGTCTCCTGGACGGAGGCTGGGCTCTGGATGATCCATCTTCCTCCGGAGACGCTTTGTCCAACCCGCTGGCTCACATTGGGATGGATCACCTTCATCTCACTGAAGTTGGGTCGAACTTTGTGAGGCTTACTCTGCTCCCAGGTCACCCCGGCTTAGGACAGAGTGCCCAGCGCTGCCTCTGGGTGTCCACTGGTCCTTCCTTCCGGGTGGGTTTTGAACTTGACTTGTCGCCTGCCCAGCACCATTAGACCAGCGCTCTGTCTAGCTTTGAGCAGTTTTCTGCTGGTCTTCGTAGCCTTCTGTTGAGTGAGGTTCACGGGGCTGCAGATGCCTGGCCGAGCGAGCCAGTGGCACGTGGTACTCCGGGTTCGCTGCCGCACCTCACAGCAGTGGTACGTGGTACTCCGGGTCCGCTGCCGCACCTCACAGCAGTGGTACGTGGTACGTGGTACTCCGGGTCAGCTGCCGCACCTCACAGCAGTGGTACGTGGTACTCTGGGTTCGCTGCCGCACCTCACAGCAGTGGTACATGGTAGTGTACTCGGGTGGCTGCCGCACTCACAGAGTGGTACGTGGTATGGGTGGCGTACAGGGCACTACCGGTCGCTGCCGCACCTCACGCAGTGGTACGTGGTCTGCCGCACCTCAGCGTGGTACTCCGGGTCGCTGCCGCACTCACAGCAGTGGACGTGGTATGGGTGGTCAGCGTGGGGCCGGGTCGCTGCCGCACCTCACAGCAGTGGTACGTGGTACTCCGGGTCGCTGCCGCACCTCACAGCAGTGGTACGTGGTACTCCGGGTCGGCTGCCGCACCTCACAGCAGTGGCACGTGGTACTCCGTCCTGCGTCGGGCGGGGTCGGCTGCCGCCCTCACAGCGGCGTGGTACTCCGGTCCTGCCGCACCTCACAGCAGTGGTACGTGGTACTCCGGGGTACTCGGGTCGGCTGCCGCACCTCACAGCAGTGGTACGTGGTACTCGGGTCGCTGCCGCACCTCACAGCAGTGGCACGTGGTACTCGGTCGCTGCACCTCACAGCAGTGGTACGTGGTACTCGGGTCGGCTGCCGCACCTCACAGCAGTGGTACGTGGTACTCCGGTCGCTGCCGCACCTCACAGCAGTGGCACGTGGTACTCCGGGTCGCTGCCGCACCTCACAGCAGTGGTACGTGTTGGTACTCCGGGTTGGCTGCCGCACCTCACAGCAGTGGTACGTGGTACTCCGGGTCGCTGCCGCACCTCACAGCAGTGGCACGTGGTACTCCGGGTCGCTGCCACACCTCACAGCAGTGGTACGTACGTGGTACTCCGGGTCGGCTGCCACACCTCACAGCAGTGGCACGTGGTACTCCGGGTCGGCTGCCGCACCTCACAGCAGTGGCACGTGGTACTCCGGGTCGGCTGCCGCACCTCACAGCAGTGGCACGTGGTACTCCGGGTCCGCTGCCGCACCTCACAGCAGTGGTACGTGGTACTCCGGGTCGGCTGCCGCACCTCACAGCAGTGGTACGTGGTACTCCGGGTCGGCTGCCGCACCTCACAGCAGTGGTACGTGGTACTCCGGGTCGGCTGCCGCACCTCACAGCAGTGGCACGTGTACTCCGGGTCGGCTGCCGCACCTCACAGCAGTGGTACGTGGTACTCCGGGTCGCTGCCACCTCACAGCAGTGGTACGTGGTACTCCGGGTCGGCTGCCGCACCTCACAGCAGTGGCGTGGTACGGGTACGGTGCTGACTCCAGAGGGGTGGTCCGGGTCGGCTGCCGCACCTCACAGCAGTGGCACGTGGTACTCCGGGTCCGCTGCCGCACCTCACAGCAGTGGTACGTGGTACGTGGTACTCCGGGTCGGCTGCCGCACCTCACAGCAGTGGTACGTGGTACTCCGGGTCGGCTGCCGCACCTCACAGCAGTGGCACGTGGTACTCCGGGGTCCGGCTGCCGGCACCTCACAGCAGTGGCACGTGGTACTCCGGGTCGGCTGCCGCACCTCACAGCAGTGGACGTGGTACTCCGGGTCGGCTGCCGCACCTCACAGCAGTGGTACGTGGTACTCTGGGTTCGCTGCCGCACCTCACAGCAGTGGCACGTGGTACGTGGTACTCCGGGTCCGCTGCCGCACCTCACAGCAGTGGCACGTGGTACTCCGGGTCGGCTGCCGCACCTCACAGCAGTGGTACGTGGTACTCCGGGTCGGCTGCCGCACCTCACAGCAGTGGCACGTGGTACTCCGGGTCGGCTGCCGCACCTCACAGCAGTGGTACGTGGTACTCGGGTCGCTGCCGCACCTCACAGCAGTGGACGTGGTACTCCGGGTCCGCTGCCCACCTCACAGCAGTGGTACGTGGTACTCCGGGTCGGCTGCCGCACCTCACAGCAGTGGTACGTGGTACTCCGGGTCGGCTGCCGCACCTCACAGCAGTGGCACGTGGTACTCCGGGTCCGCTGCCGCACCTCACAGCAGTGGTACGTGGTACGTGGTACTCCGGGTCGGCTGCCGCACCTCACAGCAGTGGCACGTGGTACTCCGGGTCCGCTGCCGCACCTCACAGCAGTGGCACGTGGTACTCCGGGTCGGCTGCCGCACCTCACAGCAGTGGTACGTGGTACTCCGGGTCGGCTGCCGCACCTCACAGCAGTGGTACGTGGTACTCCGGGTCGCTGCCGCACCTCACAGCAGTGGTACGTGGTACTCCGGGTCGGCTGCCGCACCTCACAGCAGTGGTACGTGGTACTCCGGGTCGGCTGCCGCACCTCACAGCAGTGGTACGTGGTACTCCGGGTCGGCTGCCGCACCTCACAGCAGTGGTACGTGGTACTCCGGGTCGGCTGCCGCACCTCACAGCAGTGGGTCACCGGTGGCTGGCATACAGCTCCGGGTCCGCTGCCGCACCTCACAGCAGTGGTACGTGGTACGTGGTACTCCGGGTCGGCTGCGCACCTCACAGCAGTGGTACGTGGTACTCCGGCGGCTCCGCTGCTGCCCCCTCCGCACCTCACAGCAGTGGACGTGGTACTCCGGGTCGGCTGCGCACCTCACAGCGGGCAGTGGTACTCCGGGTCGGCTGCCGCACCTCACAGCAGTGGCACGTGGTACTCCGGGTCGCTGCCGCACCTCACAGCAGTGGTACGTGGTACGTGGTACTCGGGTCGGGCTGCCGCACCTCACAGCAGTGGACGTGGTACTCCGGGTCAGCTGCCGCACCTCACAGCAGTGGTACGTGGTACTCCGGGTCGCTGCCGCACCTCACAGCAGTGGTACGTGGTACGTGGTACTCCGGGTCGGCTGCCGCACCTCACAGCAGTGGTACGTGGTACTCTGGGTTCGCTGCCGCACCTCACAGCAGTGGTACATGGTACGTGGTACTCCGGGTCGGCTGCCGCACCTCACAGCAGTGGTACGTGGTACGTGGTACTCCGGGTCCGCTGCCGCACCTCACAGCAGTGGTACGTGGTACTCCGGGTCGGCTGCCGCACCTCACAGCAGTGGTACGTGGTATGTGGTACTCCGGGTCCGCTGCCGCACCTCACAGCAGGGGTGGTCTCCGGGTCGGCTGCGCACTCACAGCAGTGGTGGCACGTGGGTACTCCGGGTCGGCTGCCGCACCTCACAGCAGTGGTACGTGGTACTCCGGGTCGCTGCCGCACCTCACAGCAGTGGCACGTGGTACTCCGGGTCGCTGCCGCACCTCACAGCAGTGGTACGTGGTACCCGGGCGGCTGCCCCCTCAACAGGCGTACCGCTGCCGCACCTACGCAGTGGACGTGGTACCGGTCCTCCACCTCACAGCGTGGCACGTGGTACTCCGGTCGCTGCCGCACCTCACAGCAGTGGTACGTGGTACTCCGGGTCGGCTGCCGCACCTCACAGCAGTGGTACGTGGTACCCGGGTCGGCTGCGCAGGGGGGGGGGGCTGCACCCCAGCAGTGGACGTGGTACTCCGGGTCGGCTGCCGCACCTCACAGCAGTGGACGTGGTACTCCGGGTCGCTGCCCACCCCGCAGTGACGGGTCTCCGGGTCGGCTGCCGCACCTCACAGCAGTGGACGTGGTACTCCGGGTCGGCTGCCGCACCTCACAGCAGTGGTACGTGGTACTCCGGGTCGGCTGCCGCACCTCACAGCAGTGGTACGTGGTACTCCGGGTCGGCTGCCGCACCTCACAGCAGTGGCACGTGGTACTCCGGGTCCGCTGCCGCACCTCACAGCAGTGGTACGTGGTACGTGGTACTCCGGGTCGGCTGCTGCACCTCACAGCAGTGGTACGTGGTACTCCGGGTCGGCTGCCGCACCTCACAGCAGTGGTACGTGGTACGTGGTACTCCGGGTCGGCTGCCGCACCTCACAGCAGTGGCACGTGGTACTCCGGGTCGGCTGCCGCACCTCACAGCAGTGGTACGTGGCACGTGGTACTCCGGGTCGGCTGCCGCACCTCACAGCAGTGGCACGTGGTACTCCGGGTCGGCTGCCGCACCTCACAGCAGTGGCACGTGGTACTCCGGGTCGGCTGCCGCACCTCACAGCAGTGGCACGTGGTACTCCGGGTCGGCTGCGCACCTCACAGCAGTGGACGTGGTACTCCGGGTCGGCTGCCGCACCTCACAGCAGTGGACGTGGTGGTACTCCGGGTCGGCTGCCGCACCTCACAGCAGTGGCACGTGGTACTCCGGGTCGGCTGCCGCACCTCACAGCAGTGGCACGTGGTACTCCGGGTCGGCTGCCGCACCTCTCAGGCCTCTCCTGTCTCCAGGACCCTAGCCCCTCTCCTGAGGCTGCTGCAGAAATCCTCAAGCATCACAACAGATTTTTTTTAATTCAGCTTTTGAATTGTACTTGGTGGGAATGTTTGTCTAAGTAAACACCATCACAGAAGCGGCGGCCCATGAACTTGAAGGCTTTCAAAGAATCTCATGGTTGATGTAAAAATCTCACGAGGTAGGAGCTTTCATTTTTTTTTTTTTTTTTTTTTTTTTTGAGACGGAGTCTCGCTCTGTCGCCCAGGCTGGAGTGCAGTGGCCGGATCTCAGCTCACTGCAAGCTCCGCCTCCCGGGTTTACGCCATTCTCCTGCCTCAGCCTCCCGAGTAGCTGGGACTACAGGCGCCTGCCACCACGCCCGGCTAGTTTTTTGTATTTTTTAGTAGAGACGGGGTTTCACCGGGTTAGCCAGGATGGTCTCGATCTCCTGACCTCGTGATCCGCCCGTCTCGGCCTCCCAAAGTGCTGGGATTACAGGCTTGAGCCACCGCGCCCGGCCGGAGCTTTCATTTTTAAAAAATTAATGTAATAAATATACTGATATTGAGTAGACGAATACACTGTTCTCAGGAGCTGTGGCGACGTCCAGTCAGTGGCCGCCTCTTCTTGTTTCAGGTGAGCATCACTTAGCACCAGTGCCGGCAGTTTTGTAAAGCAGAGGATAACATCACGGGACCGGCCGGCCTCAGAATTTCCAGGGTTTGGACACGTGGAAATCCAAGGCACCCTGCAGCTCAGCCACGGGAGTTCACGTCCGACTCCAGTGATCCAAGGGTGGGAGTGAGGCCCCCCCTGGGGACCAGTATTCGCCTCAGCATGACTAAGGCCAGCGCAGTGTGTCGACGGATGTGGGGAAGGTGGAGGAAGGAGGCCTGGGGGAGGGGTTCCTCTCACACACAGTTGCATGGGTGGATTTCGGGTTGATGAGGGCGGGGCCGCATTTTTAGGTGTTTCTACTGACAAGACCAGGGGTAGTTGGGAAAAAGCCCAGCACGTCAACAGCTCAACAGAGAGCAGGCCCCTGAGGTTGACACCAGGTTCCCGTGGATGCTGGTGATCTCGTTTGTCCTCAGTCAACCCCCGGAACCACAGAAGAGCACAGGGTGAGACCTGGGGAAAGGCAGACTCCAGCGTCCCGCGGGAGGCCGGGAAGCAAAGGTCTTGGCCCCCCCGGGCCCCGTCCATCCCGCTTTGGAAGCGCATCTTGACTCGGAAGCGGCGGCGAGGCAGCGTGGAGACTCACCGCCTCCGGAGGGCAGGGAGGGAGGAACCGTTCGCCGCAGGCACAGCCCGGACACGCTGGGAGCCGCACTCCGTGTTGGCCGTTGGGCTGATGCCTGTCAGGAGCCGAGGACGAGCTCCGTGGCTCACCTGGGATGATTTCATGTTTCTCTGAGGTAAAGGTTCCTGATGACTTTTCCTGTGCTGTGAAATACATTAAATAACAATTTCCACTTTCAATCCTCGAATGCACAATATTATAATAAAAATACATAAAAACTACTTTGACAGGAGTAAAAAGCATCAGCTAAAAAGGATTAAGAGGTTTGTGGTTGATGAAAGGGCGTGTCACTGTGGTGAGACCTGAAACAAACCTCACGTGGACGTGTGCTTTTCTCCACATCATGCCAAGTGCAGGCTGCTCTGTCAGCTTCGTTCAGCGTCACCCAGAAAATAAATTCTCTTTACCTCCCATGGGGATTGTCTTCTAATTTGGAGAAGTTGGATACAACTCTGTAAGTGCAGAGCCACACAGTAAGAAAACACACACTCGAGGGCACTATTTTCAGAAAGGCAGATGTTCCAGCAGAAGCATCTGGGCCGGGCACGGTGGCTCACGCCTGTCATCCCAGCACTTTGGGAGGCCAAGGTGGGCAGATTCCTTGAGCCCAGGAGCTCGAGACCAGCCTGGCCGATGTGGCAAAACCCTGTCTCTACTGAAAATACAAAAGTTAGCCGGGCGTGGTGGCGCATGCCGGTAGTCCCAGCTGCTCTCGAGGCTGAGGAGGTGGGAGGATCGCTTGAGCCCAGGAGGTCGAGGCTGCAGTGAGCCAAGATCGTGCCACTGCACTCCAGCCTGGGCAACAGAGTGAGACCCTGTCTCCTGGCTCTGAGGAATCCCAAAGGCAGAGCCACCCTGAGCGGACCCATCTGCCCCTTTGACCGTCGCCCGCCAGCCCCTCCCGGTGCCCTGTGTTGTCACATGACTGGCTTGTTGAGGAGCCCAGGGGTCACCCCAACGCCTCCTGGAGTGATGCCGACCTCACTCCTTGGCCCCCAGAATTCCCATAGGCTGGGAGGTGGTCACAGAAGCTTTGTCGATTCCGTTCTCTTTTTGGCAAGGACACTTCCAAGTGCATCTGCACGGGCACTGACCCCCTGAGTGGGCACAGGGGCACCCTCAGTACCCACAGGGCCATGCTCCCAGCCTGGGTCTGATGGGCCGGGATGCGACCACTGCCGGCGTCTGCGATGCTGTGAGTGGGCGGCGGTGACGTACTCACCCGGGAATGACAGTGAGTGCCCCGAGTGCCAGATCCCCCCAGGCTTTCACGTTTAAGGATTACGAGGAAGACCTGGACTACGTGCCTTTATAAGATGCCTCCTGTGGGTCCCTGAGGCCGTCGGGTGCCACCTTGCCCCTGCGTGACCGGCCTGGAAACGGTGACCAGTGACCCTGGGGCGGGGTGGCCTTGGGGCTACCAGCAGGCGAAGGGTGCACCAGGCCAGGACACTGGGCTGGGGGCCTCGCCCAGGATGACAGGCAGGGCTTGTCCAAAACCCCTGGCCCTGTTCCAACCCCCAGGAGGGTTCGAGCCCTTTCGAGGATCCCATGCTGTGTCCAGAGCAGCCATGCACCCACCTTCTCCACTGCAACACAGCCACCCTCCTTCTCCGGAGTGGCCTTTCACAAAGCACAAATATCATTACCTCCTGAGTGAAGCCTGTCCTCAGGGTGGAGACAGTGTCCCAGGCCTGGCCTCAGACACACACCCCTCCTGCCCGCCTCCCTCCCTCCAGGCCCTGTCCTCACTGCCCCATGGCAGCCTCCCAGCAGCCACCTCCTGCTCTGCCTCCAGGACCCACTCAACCTCCAGGGTGCTGTGGCTCTTCCTCAAAGGAGGGCGGCTGGGGGAGGAGACGCCTCAGTACAGAAAAGCCTGAGGCTGTCGTTGGGTCTGACCCCACCTCTCCTGCTGTTTCCTGCCAAGACAGATGAGGATTTACCTCTCCACTCTTCACCATGCCTGCCGCCTCCTTTGCAATCTTTGTAAATTGTATTCTTATTCTGTTTCCACGTTTAATAACTCACTTAAATTCTTACCATAAAAGACAAACATACACAAAAGTACAAAGAACCTAAATACCTGATATAATGAATAATTGTAAGACACACACCTTCGTCAAGAAACAGAAAATACCCAGGCCCTGACAGCTTCTAGAAGTAACCGGGCCCTCCCTGCAGGTGTAGCCTGGGGCTGAACACACCTGCCCTGGGGACAGAGCTGCTTCCTCTCCATCCCTCTTACCACCCTTCATGGCATCCTGAAGATTAAGGCTCCCTCCCGAGGTGGGAGGTGGTCTGAGCGTCCCTCCCCAGCCAGCACCGGGGCTAAACCTCTCTTGGAGTTTGTCCTGGCTTCCCCACGGGCACCTACGGGGGTTTCTGGAGGCGGAGTCTGCAAAAGGATGAAACTTCCCTCTGTCCGCGGCTCCCAGGGGCTCCACACTTCCCTGAAGCTCACAGCCTTCAGCAGTTTGTTATAAATTTCCAGTTCTACCATCTTGACCTCTGTTGTGGCCTTCAGGTAAGGAAATGCCAGGATCCTGCAGCTGCCTGTCTCTGGATTTCGGGCTAGAGATTTGTCCTGTGACCTTAGTTCTCTGACAGGCTCAAGAAAAGTTGTGAATCTGCAGTTTGCAAAGTTTGTTACTGAATGGAACTGGGGTCTGCCTACTCAGCACAGAAAACCAAGCCCCGACATCGGGATGTGCAGCGAGAGAAAGCGAGGCGTTCATTGCAGGGCGCCAGGCAAGGAGAATCGGGCGGCCGGTGCTGCAGATGTGCGCTCTCTGACGGCTTCCGGCTCAGGGTTACTAAAAGCGGGAGGCAGAGGTCGGGGCAAGGCCAGAGATCAATACCTGGAGGCTGCCCATTGGCTTCCCCTAAAGGGTGGGACATCTTGAAGCCGGGGTCTACAGTCATATTCTCTGATTTGCGATTGGTTAAGGAAGGGAAGGAAACTTTACCTGAAAAACTGGGGCCATCAGAAAGGAATGTTAGCTCTGGCCCGTGGGTGTGACTTCCTCCAGACCCCTCAGGAAGAAACTGAGGACAGAGAATGGTGGTCCCAGTTCAGTCCTCAGCGCCCCCACCCCGTCCGATGTCTGTGCGTGACGGGACCTTTCGTTTCTCTGGGGAACTGAGCATTTGGTCTCTCACCTCCTTGGCTGTTGCTTTCAGCTGTTCTGACCTTCTTGCTTATCAGGCTGCTCACTCACTTTTTAAAGCCAGCGTCGTGCCTGGAATTTTCCCCGGCACTCAAGATTTCCCTCGACTTCTGTGTTTCGGGCCCTGCAGGCCCTTAAGCGGGATCCCTGCTCCATCTTGAGTTTTCCATCTTACTGTACCGTTCCTTGCAGCTCAACAGGCTCCGGGCTGAATCCCAAGCTATTGATTTTTGATTTCATCTTGTATCTGGCAACTTTGCTAAATTGTCTGTGGCTGGTGATTCTGATGGTTTCTGTGGCTGGATTATGTCACCTGCCGATGACGGCCGTCTCTCTTCCCTTCCTAGCTTTGCATTTCTTTCTTTCTCTTTCTACACTTAGCCATGGTAGGAATAACACTCAAAATCCTACGGAAATTGAACACTCGAACAAAGGATTCTTAGCAAAGCAATTTTACTTCTGCACACGGGGCGCCTCCTTGGCCAGTTGCCGTGAGAGCACACCTGGACAGAGGGGCACGAGAGCCTTTATTCCTGACGCAAGTCCTGCCCCTGTGCCCTTTCCCCATTGGCCGGGATTGGGTCATACAATCTAATCCAGGTTGGCTAAACATTTGAATTTGTTTAGATAAGGTGAGCACGTAAAAGAAAAAGAGAGGGAAGGGGAAGGGGTGTGTGTAGTGAGCTAGAATGTTAGTCCTCTTTCCAAATAAGGAAAGGAATGTGAGCTGGTCTGTGGTCTGGTACTGTGGTCTGGTACTGTGGCGTGGTCTGGTAATATGGTCTGGTAATGTGGTCTGGTACTGTGGTCTGGTACTGTGGCGTGGTCTGGTAATGTCTGGTACTGTGGCGTGGTCTGGTAATGTGGTGTGGTACTGTGGCGTGGTCTGGTAATGTGGTCTGGTACTGTGGCGTGGTCTGGTAATGTGGTCTGGTAATGTGGTCTGTACTGTGGCGTGGTCTGGTAATGTGGTCTGGTACTGTGGCGTGGTCTGGTAATGTGGTCCGGTAATGTGGTCTGTACTGTGGCGTGGTCTGGTAATGTGGTGTGGTCTGGTAATGTGGCATGGTCTGGTAATGTGGTCTGGTAATGTTGTGTGGTCTGGTAATGTGGTGTGGTACTGTGGCGTGGTCTGGTAATATGGTCTGGTAATGTGGTCTGGTACTGTGGCGTGGTCTGGTAATGTGGTCTGGTAATGTGGTGTGGTCTGGTAATGTGGTCTGGTACTGTGGCGTGGTCTGGTAATGTGGTCTGGTACTGTGGTGTGGTCTGGTAATGTGGTCTGGTAATGTGGTCTGTACTGTGGTGTGGTCTGGTAATGTGGTCTGGTAATGTGGTCTGTACTGTGGCGTGGTCTGGTAATGTGGTCTGGTACTGTGGCGTGGTCTGGTAATGTGGTCTGGTACTGTGGTGTGGTCTGGTAATGTGGTCTGGTAATGTGGTCTGTACTGTGGCATGGTCTGGTAATGTGGTCTGGTAATGTGGTCTGTACTGTGGCGTGGTCTGGTAATGTGGTCTGGTACTGTGGCATGCCTGGGCATCTAACAAAGGCAGAAAGGAAAAAGGGAAAAAAGAGTGTGGGGGCTACTATGAATTAAAAGATTGATCAGGCTATTTGAAGAGAAACCTCATCATATCCCACAGCCAGGACATCCAGTAATAAAACTTGAAATCAGGCAACTTTCCCTCTCTCCTCACTTTGCTAAGAGTTTGTATCATTAATGGGTATTGAACCTTGTGGGATGTGCTTTCTGCATTGGCTGAGATGTTTTTCTCTGTTTAGCCTGTGACTATGGTGAGCTACACAACAGACCTCCCGACGCATGCGTCTCGTATTCACAGACAAGCGTTGCTTGATCATGTGTGGTTTTAAAAACATACGCTGTTGGGTTTGGCAAGCTAATATTTTATTTAGGATATTTTCCTTCATGGGCCTGCTGTTTGTTTTATTGTTTTGTGCCAAGCACGTTGGGAACGGTACCGAGGCAGGCCAGGTCTCACTCACGCAGGCCCCCGGAACAACTGTGCCCAGGCCTCTCCAGGGCCTTGAAGCTTGACAAGATAGCAAAGGAATCCTTGACAGGACCCGTTTAGGATTAAACAAGTTTTACTGGGGTCTGAAGAAACTCCATAACGAGCTTCCTTGGAGACTAAAGGAGCTCCCTAAACCTCCGTGACTTGGCAGAAGGCAAGATAAGGGTGATCACCCCAGCACCTGGACCCAGTTAGATTCAGTAAACCCA